AGAAGTCGACCACCTACCAATTAAATATAAAAACCCACTCCTCATTTCTCTAGCTATTGCCAAGAAAACAATCTTTCAAAACTGGAAATCAAACAAATCACTACACATAAACCACTGGACCAACCTTCTGACAGAATACATCACATTAGAGAAAATGACATCAACTCACAAGAATAGTTTATCAGCTTTTTATGACACATGGAACCATTTTTAACACATTTCAACTTGAACCAAACACCTGGGGCTGCGGCCACGCACATTCCCACCAACCTCTAAAATGTAACAAGCTGATTTTATGAGTAGTACTGTTATCATTATTATTATTGGTAATTTTTTATTTATTTACTTCTCCTCCTTTTCCCTTTCTCGCGTTTCATAGACTACATAAGTTGGAAATACCCACACTTCACACACTACAGTCTTGTAATACACTCTATATCGTTTTGTAATGTCATGTAACTGTTGTCTTGTCTCCCATGTTCAGTACTGTTTTGTTATTGTGTTACTTTGTTTCAATAAAAAAAAGAGTCGGGAGTGACAGATCAAAGCTGCCGTCTCCCTGGAGAAAGGCCAAACAAAGACACATATGCTGACTCTGCGAGCTGTAATGGACTCTGAGTGAAGGTGGAGCGTTGGGGAGCAATAACTAGTGCAGACAACCCACCTAAAGGGACATTACACCTCATTTCCCTGTCTTTTAACTTATGCAAAGAGTTAGGGTCACAGTAGCTAATTTAGTGTTTTTACAAGTTTCAGAGTGAACACTTCAAACAAGACCACCCACAGTCAGGCTGCAGGTAGCTGCATCATCTGGTGACATCTGGTGGACAAAACAGGTAGACGAAAGCTCTCAACAAGCATCAGCTTACTTTATATTATGTATTACAACCAGAGACGCTTGTTTTTCAGTGGAAAAAATGATAATAACAGAGTTTATTTTGATAACATAAAAGTCAATAATTACAAAGAACATTACAAAAAGCTAATGTGGAAAATTTGTCAAATAGCAAGAAAAAATGAGCAGAAAGGGATTAAAATGTAAAACCAGAATCAGAATAGACATGTCTACACATACACAGACACACTGAACTACCAACATGTTGCAGGAAGTTGGCTTAAAGACCAACCTTAGACCTTCAAGACTTTTAAACAGGAAAACAAGGGAAAATTGATGCTCTCCAAGCAAATGTCGCTTAAAGCCAAAATATGAAGGAGCCTCTCTTGCTCCTGAATCCACTGTCAGTACAGAACATAAACCAATGGCAAACAATGATGAAAAGAAAATCCAGTTCATAGTCTTGATAATATAATTCCACTTGTTAGGTATTTTTTAGTCAGATAGATATTGGTTAGATACTTTATGTATTAGAAATGTTTAGTGGAGACAGGATGTCTAGGTAGGCTGTTAAATGCTTAGTCATGCTTATGAGTTTTTTTGCAGGGTGCATATGGTCAAGGATAACTAGATAGAAAAGTTTGACTGTCAGCAGACAGGATGATTATTGTTATTACTATGATATGTTTAGCCGTAATCTTAATCATAATATCTTCCTAGGCTTAATGTCCGGACATGTCCCTGAATGTCCTGTATGTTCTTAGATACACACCACTTAATCAACACGCACACACATTGATTTTCTCCATGTTTTGCCTACTGCTACGGTCAGCTGTGAAGCTGGTATATCAGGTGACGTCACGGTTTGACGTGCCTGTGTAGAATGGGGTTAGCCCTAACCAGATATAATGTACAGGCCTGTTGGGTTTTGGGGTCTTTTCATCATTCATCTGCCTGTGTGAAGTTTGGAGGTGAAGGATACCTGAGCGTGTAATGTTAATTTTACCTGTGATCCTTTGAATAAACCAGCACGGTTTTTTGTATCCACTTGGACCGCCTCGTCTCTCTGAGTTCCTGGTTAAGGGAACTGGGAAAAATAGCTTTCACACTTGACATATAAAGTGTCTTTAGGGTCCTAAAGAGGACATGACAGAAAAAAGCTGTGGCCCACTGTGCAGCCATAACAACTGGAAAATCTGAAAACCAGCATGATACCACTGTTGCCTGAGACCCTCCTCTCTGTGTCGGTCCCTCCAGCAGTCCAAACCGTTGAGTTTAAAGTTATTTCTGTGGAGACTTTTTGCAACAGCTGTCATTTTACTCTGATGGTTACTTCTGGCTGGGGGACAACCGCTACAGTAACAACTGCTACTACTGCTGTAATAATTAATGAATACTTAAGTAATTTTTGACACCTCTTCTTGATCGAAACGTTTGTGTCCTTGAGAACAAAAAGGTAAATCTTCCGCCATTGTTGTAGTTTTAGGTTTTGTAGTCACTTTTTTGGTCGTGTCCAGTTTGTAGTTCTATAAATTCCCAGCAGATGGCAGCATATGATATATATATGGTAAATGGTCTTATACTTGTATAGCGCCTTTCTATGCTTTTACAGCACACTCATAGCGCTTTCACACATTATTCGGCCATTCACCCATTCGCCATTGAGTTTGTTTCTGTGAACATCCCCAGAACAGAGACAAAACATGAAGTTTCCTGTACAATGTGTGTACGTTTTGCAACATTACCACTTTTGTTGCAACTTATGCAAAAGCAACTTGCAAGTTGCCCAAAAATTCTATAGCTACAGTTTCTAGGAGAAGACGATTAATTACAGTTTAAATCATTACATTAACAACTAGACTGTAGAGATTATCATGCATAGAATTTACTGAATTTTAATGATGCACAGAAGATGCTGAGGTGGTGCATCAGTTGTGCAGTGGTCCAACAGGGAGCTATATAATGATAAGGTCATAGTTATATGGTAATTATCTCAGTAAATGAGTACAGTCTTAATACTCAGAGGAACTGTTCTCTGACCTCACATGCTCCGCTGTTGGACTCTTCTATAATTTGGCCAAAGCTCTTAAAGTATTCAATTATATCTAAATGTCTGCTGAACAGGAAGTTTCACCCCTGCAGTGACAAATGACATTAAACCCCATTAACCTGGTATTAATAAAGAATCAATCAATCAGGACACTATAGTATAGAGCTGCTAATTGTTGAGTTTATGAACATTTAATAATATTACCTACTTGTTGAACTTATTAACTTTTAATCCCTGATCTCATCCATGATTAATAGCTGTCTGTCTGATCCCATAGAAAAGAGGCCCCAGCTCTGCGACTGACAGATGGGCAGCCCAACTGCTGCCAGCTGCTTTCCATACAATATTCAGAGGTAGGTAGCACACGCATGTCCGTCACTCATATTAGTATTCAAACAACAGGGCAGGCTCACTGCCACAATGGCTTACTGATAGACAGGATGTCACTCTCATCTATTAGTTCATTAGCAAGATGGAAACACAAAAATCGTTTATATTAGAAGAGCAGGCAGGTTTCACAGTGACAACTCTGCAAAGTCAGGGCGGATGTTTCAACTTTTTCCGGTTTTCTCCTGCGTTATGCCTTAACAAAGTATCATTAGTGCTTTATTTATTTATTTAATTTCATGTTCTTTGTGTTTATGCATGCTGATATTCGTGCTGGATTGAATCAATCTTCTTGCGGTTGTTTGTTTTTCCGTGAATATTTGGACAATTGCATTGTGTGTTTTTATGACAGAATGATACCAAACCAAATACTTGTATTAGACACTGCATCACTGAGGAGCAAACAAATGCTCTGGTTTCTTGACAAAAGTTTCAAGCTTGGCTCAGTAAAACTTTATTATGTGAAAACACATTTTGCATCAGCACATTTTTTTCATTAAAGTAAGAAAAATCATGACAAACTTTAACAAAACCTTAATACAGTAGCTTTTAAGCATTTTATGTCCCTGAAAGTTACATTAAATTATCAGGTTATACAGGTTATGTTGTCCTGTTTTTCCAGTCAGTCAATCAGTCACTCAAATTTGACTCTTTTTTACAGGTTCATGTAATTCAAAGGGCTTTAAAGATGACTGACAGAATGAAAATACAAGGAATGTGAACAATAGAAACAACTTGATCAACTTTTAGAGATTAAATTGAATTAATGTAAAGCAAAAAATAAAATAAAATAAAAATGGAATAAACAACTCTAAGCACTCAATAATTGTAGTCCTCCAAGATTTACTGGTACTGGACAGAATCAAGAAATGACAGAGCATAGCAGTAATAACCAGTGTTGCACATTTACTGAAGTACTTTATGTTAGTACAATTTTGTTGTATTTGCTTAAGTATTTTCACATGATGCTGCTTCATACTTCCAGCTCACAAACATTTATGTGGCAGCCAATTAGTTACTAAGAATATATATTCCTTTTTCAATGCAATTTGATGTGTTTTAGAAAACATTAGCATTTTTTTTTATTCCACGCAGCAACCTGCCTCATTCTGTCTGAAACCTGCTTCATCGTGCATGTTTTTGATGCTGCTGAATACTGTCCGGCCTCTCCCTCCTTCTGTCTTTGTTAACATCAGAATCAGCTTTTCTGGCCAGGGGTGTTGAATTTGACTCTGGTACAGTGGCTCTCAGTGTGTATGGACAGTGTTCTTCTGTAATCCAACCAGTAGACAGAGAGAAAAAGAAAAGAAAAATAATGTGCAAACAAGAAATAGAAATGTGCATTAGGTAAATAAAAATAAAGTACTTCTAGATATAAAATATATATGCAATGTACGCAGTTTAGATAGTTTAACTTCCCATCTTTTCTCTTTTCGCCATTTCCATCTTATTACAATAAACTCAGATCCTTGTCTGGAAGTGTCATTTCACTTTATAAACCTCGTCCTCCTCCTTTCTTTCTTTAACACCCACAGACACCCTCTACAGCCTCATGTCTTCCCCTCCTCATCTTTTGTTTGTCTTTCCCTCCAGAATTTCTGGCAAGAGGCTCAAGCTCTGTTCCTCTGTGTTGTCGTCCATCTGTTGGTTGCTGGGCCTCCTCAATGAGCAGATATATACTCCTTCACCCTTGACCTGAGCCTGGAAGTGTGGGGGAGTGATGGTTGACCAGTGGAGGGTTGACCTATTACCAAGGAAGAATCTGCATTGACACCAGTGGAGACACTGGTGTGGATGAACAGCAGGGGTTGGCTGGGAAAGCAGTGGCTGACTGATCGTCTCCATGCATACATACTCTTCATTCATCTGTGAAAACAGTGTGTAGGAAGGAACTCAGTGTGGGTGCATATTAAAGTTGTGCAGGATTATGATGCAGCTTTATCAGAGCAGAACTTATCATTTGGAGAGAGCATGATGAGAGGATTATGGTCATCATCAGTAACTTCTGTCCACAATTTTGTCCAAAGCTTCCTTTTAAAAAAATTCAACCTTTCCAATTGCTCCTAAAGTCAAATGTCCTTTAGTTAAACAATGTATTTATTGTGAAACTGAAATGAAACTCAGAGCTTTGACTAGAATAAGCTAGAATAACTCTGTTTTGTCAGGTGAGATAACACATTGTTCTTCTCACACAGCTGATTTAATAATTAATAAAGCACACTCTGTGGTTTTGTTTCTATTGACTCATTTAGTCTTGTGTATCCAGACTGATGTTAACATTAGCAAGCTTTAGATAGGTGAATACCAGGATTCAAACCTTTTTGTGTCACTTCTTGGATCCTTGATTTGGACAGCAGATTCTGAATCTTGCTCCCTTGGTATTTGTGTTTGTGTCTGATGTTGTGAGCTTGTATAAAAAAAGGAACCAGTTAGCAGTAGGGGCACAGTTCAGGTTTGATTGGATCAGAAGGTGTCGGGAGGTTTTTGGAGGCTTTATTTGATTGTTTCTCTCTCTCCCCTTTGCATCTCTTCTTTTCAGGTGTTGGGTGGGGAGCCCGGAGTGACAAAGCTGTGCTTGTAACTCATCAGGGAAGTTGATTAAACTTCATTTACATTTGTGATGCCAATCACACAGATATTTTAACTGAGCAAAGCCTGTTACAGTGATCAGTTGTTATTCTACAATGCAAAGGTTAGTACTGCTCCTTCACACCCCTGCTTACAATCTCAGGTTTGCTAAAAATGATGCTGAGAGGCCATTTTGTTGGAATACAATATAATGTCAGCGGTGAGAACAGCAAGCACCAGAATCAGTATGATCTGTTTACACAAACACAGTGAAACTAAACATTTGAAATCTCTGTGATTTACAGAGTTGCTTCATGATAGAACCATAGTTCAGAGCTTTTAATTAATGGGTATACAGGAAACTGACTGATGGTTAATTTTGTCTTAAATAAAACATGGACACGAGATTGCTTCAAGTATCTTTGAACTGGCTTCTGAAACTTATATGTGCAATTGTGCCCAAAAAGGAGACAGGAAGTGATGTTTGGTGAAGGAAAATATAACTAAAACAACTTAAAAACCCACATACTCCCAACCTGCAAATACAACTCATACACAGCCTACTCATATACACACATTCAGAAACAGCAAAGCAGCATTCAATAGAGTTGACTCAGTTCATGAATTTTGACCATTTTATTCCAGGGTTCTTACCGTTTTTCACACAAAATTCATGCATTTAACATGATTTCAGAAGAGTGTGTCTGCTGGTGAAAGGGTGGAATAGAGAAGAAGCAAAACAACAAAAAGGAGGTATTCATTTCATCAGTGAAAAATGATTTCTTTTGTCTGATCCACTTTGTGTGGCTTTGTATGACCTGGGCAGCCATTGCTGATACATGCACACAGCATTGGTCACAATGTACTTTACCAGTGTTGCAAAGAAACTGTAAGAGATTTAGCAAGACAAAGCAGTGGTTCATTAACAGACTTATGTTTTTGTCCTTTGTACCTGAACAACTGTTTTTTTCTCCCCAAAACTATCAGCAGCCACTTTAAAAAGTTTAATCCAAATAAATGGCACTTTAACAGTAAAAGATTAATAGTTTTTATGCATTTATTGATACAATGTTCAGGCCACAGTTAAAAGCTGAGCGAACAAAACAAATGTGTTAACAAAGATGAACATGTTGAATAGTTGTGTCACATCCTCCTCCTTCTCCCTCATCCGGCCACGGGACCACAGCGGAGAGGCATACGGCACTCTTATTGGTTGGCTGGATGTAACGGCAGCGCTGATTGGCTGAAAGATTTCCGCTCCAGAGCTTCTATTTTGAACATAAATACGAGCAGCTCGGGTGTTTTTTTTCCTCAGAAACCACGGGCTGTCATAGAGGTAGGATGTGGTGCTGCAGCTCTTTAACACAAACAACAATTATGTGCCTTTAGCAAGACGAAATCGAAATTTACTTCACACAGAACCACCGAGTCACGTCCAGCCGGTGTTTTGGATCGTGTGTTTGGAAATGTTTTCTTAAATTGTTGCTAACTAACTGGTTAGCTTCCTGGTCGGAACCATCTTGCTATCTAATTGGCACTCCCCGACCCGAAATTCTAACTAAAGCTATCAAAAGCAATAACGCCTGCAGGATATATGCAAACTGCGCAGCTGAAGATGGAGCCGGGTAATATTTTTGGCAGCACTAGCCCTGTTAACTCCGTTCTGAAAAGCAGGCCCGACGGGATCCCCAGGCTTTCCTCGCTTTCTCTGCCCGAGCTGAGCACAAAGAACTCGCACAGCCGGAATCTCTTCTCCCCTGCACCCGCGACTGTGTTGTCTCCTGTCACAAATTTGACTCTGGGCATGAACAATTTAGCTGGACTCGGAAGGTATTAATAAAATTTCGTGTTATTTTATTACTTGTATAAATTAAGGCATGCTGTTTTTTGCAAGCCATTGACAAAACCTTCATTTTATCTAGGCAATTAGCCTAGCATGCAAAGACTGGTGTAGTGTTAGCTTATTGATTTCCTGTGTTGATGGTTTTCACCCACAGCCTGTGTGATACCCCGAAAAGAAGAAAGCATGCTCCCCTCGAAAAGGTTCCCTCCTTTGCTTCGGACGTCTCATCTGATGCTGGTGAGCCCTCCCCATGAAAACTTGTTGTCTTTACTAATTGATGCCATTTCATCTGATGCCTGGGGGTTGGTTGCACTTTATTTCATAGTCATGCTCCTTAACTTTAGATGTCTTGAGATGAGGAGTGCTATCTATAGGTACATTAACTTTTACATTTTTAGAACTGCAGCAACTAGATAATTAACAGTTCAACTGAAAATTAATCAGGAACTATTAAATGCCAAACATCACATGATACTTTGCTTTTTGTCATAGTTAACCGAATAACATTGCATTATGAACCAAGCCATTTCAAAATGTCACCTTGGGCTTTAGAAAACTCACCGTTTTGTGATATTTACTAAACTGAATGATTGTATCACTCCTTTTACAGAGTAAACTGCTCTATAGTGTAACTGTAAATCCAAATTTACAGTAGAATCCCTCTTAAACTGGTTTAGCACCGGCCACATTTCTAATCCACTGGTATTCAGCTGGTTGTTGGTGACAGCTTTGCATTCTGCAGTTTACCACCTGGTGCACACATGAATCTTTAATAGAAGTTTCTGCTTTTCCCCAAGGCCTCGGCATGGATCCTCTGAGTCCCATGGACGCTGTTGAAGTGGATGACACGTAAGTCGCTCTGTCCTCCTGTCTGTCCTAATCAGTCAGCCTGTGAACTGTGCCCCTCTGCTTTTACCCCCTCAAACACCCCCATCTCCACCCTGTGCTTGGGGTCAGCTGTGCTAAGCCCCGTTTTTCATTTATAGTATTGTTTTTCTATGATTGGCTTAAAGATGAAGGCTTCTTTTATGCTTTTACTAAGCACATTAGCAGATAAAATGTGAGCTTAACTTTCTTTAAGGTATTAAGTGAAAAGACAGTAGTTAGGGATGATATGGAAACATTTTAAAGTGGGGTCCTTGTAATTGGTTATTTTGTAAGTGGAATGTAGTCCCTTACACTTGTGACAAGGTTCACACAGACAAAAAATGTTTGTATCAACACTTTTTTTTTTTCTTACACTTGGTGGTAGAAGACAGTGAAACCTGGCACACCAGTTGTGCACAGCTTTATCTTGACCAGTATGTGGGCATATCCTCAGCTGCCTAATCTTGGGTGGCCCCTTTTTCTTCGTTCTCAGTTGGGTAAGCCTCTGCAGACATCTGCCACCATCTGATGTGCGAGTTCCTTTACTTGAGCATTTGGTGCTTGAAGAACTCATTCACCTCCTTTACAGCTGTTCAGTTGCAGGGTGGGGGGAGAATGTGCTCCACGCTTGGTTTTAATTGTACCTCACCCCTCTGGTT